CACACTGAAGCGCTACAGCAGCACACCTTTTTTAGAATGTAAGACTGGCCATACTGGGTCAGACCAATAGTTCATCTAGCCCATCATCCTGTCTTTGCTTCTTTCCACTATGAAAATTGACTGTTAATTCTGCCCTTTGTTTCCTATCTATTAAGCAGTTACTGATCCATGAGAGGACTTTCCCTCTTATCCCTTGACTGTCTACTTTGCTTAAGAGCCTTTGGTGAGGGACCTTGTCAAATGCTTTCTGAAAGTCCAAGTAAACTGTATCCATTGGATCAGCCTTGTCCACATGTTTGTTGACCCCCTCAAAGAACTGTAATAGATTGGTGAGGATGATTTCCCTGTATAAAAGCTGTGTTGACTCTTCCCCAACAGATTGCCTTCATCTATGTGTCTGATAATTCTGTTCCTTATTATAGTTTCAACTAATTTACCTGGTACTGAAGTTAGGCTTACTGGTTTGTAATTGCCACGATCGCCTCTGGAGCCTTTTAAAAAAATCTGCATCACACTAACTATCCTCCAATCATCTGGTACAGAAGCTAATTTAAGTGATAACCATCAGGAATTCTCATGACAAATTTTTTGGTGGCCTCAGAATATAACCACCAACTCTTGCTGGTGGCCACTCTGATACTTTTCCCTAAAATACTTAACTTTAGGAAAAACAAATATGCACATATACACATCCAAAACATTGTAATTTATTTATTGCTAGCTAGTACACCTCTACCCCGATATAACGCGACCCGATATAACACGAATTCGGATATAACGCGGTAAAGCAGCGCTCCGGGGGGGGGGGGCGCTGTGTGCTCCGGCGGATCAAAGCAAGTTCAATATAACGCAGTTTCACCTATAACACGGTAAGATTTTTTGGCTCCCGAGGACAGCGTTATATCGGGGTAGAGGTGTATGTTTAAAAACTGATATCACTTTTCACAGCAGACTTGCTAGCTAGTAAGTCTGTTGTGAAGTTTGTGCTATTAGCCCTGACACAAATTAAGCACTGGATGGCAGCAGGGGGAGGCAGCGGGGCCCTGGGGCAATGAGGGGATGGATGGGAGGATTGGAGGAGGCAGTGGGGGCCAGGAGTGGGTAGTCCCACTGCCCCAGGGTTGGAGCCCAAAGCCCCATCATCCCCAGGAACTCACTGGCCACCTGTTCCTCCAGCGTTGTGCCCCATGTGTCTCCAGAGGTGGTGCAAGGCGCCGAGCCCTGCTGGCGGCCCAAACAACCAACCCCAAGGTATTGCATCCAGGAGCAACTGGGGAGGGGTGGGCGCCACTGATTCTCTTCCCCCCCCCCCCCCCGAGGCCACGTGCAGCCATGGTGGCCGCATTTGAGAAACGCTGTTACATACCCCAATTAGTAGTTCTGCAATTTCATATTTGAGTTCCTTCAGAACTCTTGGGTGAATCCCATCTGGCCCTGGGGACTTATTACTGTTTAATTTATCAATTTGTTTCAGAACCTCCTCTAGGGACAGTTCCACAGATTTGTACTTAAAAAGAACTGCTCAGGTGTGGGAATCCCCCTCACATCCTCTGCAGTAAAGACTGATGCAAAGAATTCATTTAGCTTCTCCACAATGGCCTTGTCTTCCTTAAAGGATGATCTTATAATTAAGGCACTGGACTCTATGGCAGGAGAACTGAGTTCTATTTCTGGATTTGATGTGCACTTTCTGTGTGGCCTTGAGCTAGTCATCTGCAATACTTTAGTTTCCCTCATCTGTAAAATGGGCATTAACATATTTCTTGTCCTCACTGAGGTTTTGTGAAGGGTAAATGCACTAATTGTTTGTGGGACAATCAAATACTAAAGTTGATGAGCATCACCGAAACCCCCTAAGTAATTACATCAATAAACAAATGTTATTCTTCTGATTTATCTTACTCTGCTTTCAAAGCCACATACTCTAACAGGACACCATTACAGGGTGTTATGAGGAAGAGTTCTGCATCAATAACCAATTTCACACATGCTTCCATAGTGCTTACAAATTGATGCAAGTACAGAAGAACTCTCCCATTTGTCATTATGGAATTGCATCTTTATTATTTATAGCTACAAACACAGGGTTTAGACAGGAGATCAAATAGTCTTTAACGAAATTGTTCAAAGTACTGAAGACCACTGATAACAATCAGATTTTTTCTCACTCATTTGCTTAATTCTGTTTCTTGCTAGCTATTAAATAATATTTTTGTTAATACAAAAGGTGAAAAAGTCAACACCCTTTAATAGCACTAGGGAGAGACTTTCAGCTGGGAATGTAAGAGGACTTGGCCCACAGAAATGTTGGGGCTATTTGATTCCCTTGATCCTAACAGTTCTCTTTCCTGTATTTGTATGTATAAAGTGAGCAAATCTGGCCTGAAATTTGTTGCAAGACGAAACACAGAACCCCATTGTACCCTTTTTACAGTCACTTCTCAGCGTATAACTGCTCTTTTAAGAGGTTTCTGGAGCTCTTATTTAAACAGATAACATTCTGCTATGTTGTGGGGCTGAAATGTGTGGAAACAATAGCAACACTAGTGATAATAGTGTGATTTATAGACGAGATAGAAAATAAACATCCTAATCTTCTTTTTTGTGGGGGAAACTATGTTGGGTAAAAATAATTCATGACCTTTTAAATGGAGACAGTCTTGGTCATACCTGCTCTCAATCCACACACACTGAATTTCCCACTGAAATTATCTCCTGGAAATATGAACAGAGTCACATCACTGGCAGAATAAGAACTCTGATTTATGGAAAGTGAATGCCATATGGCACAGTTCCTTCTCATTTCATATTTTGTAGCTCAAAGAATCATATGACCATAACATCAGCTGACCCATAACATCAGCAAATTCATCACATTAGCTATCCGCCAGTCATCTAGTACTGAGACTGAGTTAAGTGAGAGGTTACATACCACAGTTAGTAGTTCTGCAATTATATATTTGACTTCCTTCAGAAGTCTTGGATGAATATTATGTGGTCCTTGTGACTTGTTACTGTTTGATCAATTTCTTCCCAAACCTCCTCTATTGACACCTCAATCTGGGACAGTTCCTCAAATCTGTCACTTAAAAAGAATGGTGCAGGTGTGGGGATCTTCCTCACATTCTCTGCAGTGAAGACCCATGCAAAGAATTCATTTAGCTTCTCCGCCTTGTCTTCTTCAAGTACCCCTTTAGCACCTTGGTCATCCAGTGTCCCTACTGAATGTTTGGCAAGCTTTCTGCTTCTGATGTAATTAAAAAATGTGCTGTTCTTGATTCTTTTGCTAGTTGCTCTTCAAATTCTTTTTCAGCCTGCCTAATTATACTGCAGTGCAGCAGCTGTAGCCTTTCTAGTGTGGACATACCCTATATTGATGGAAGCATTGGACATTGGTGGACACTTACTCCTGGAAATTAGGTTGGTAGAACTACCTCGCTCATGGGTGTAAAAAATCCACACCCATGAGTGACACAGTTAAACTGATCTAACCTGGGCTGTAGACAGTGCTTCTCCTGTTGACCTAGCTATGGCCTCTTGGGGAGGTGGAATACCTGTGCTGATGGGAGAATGCTTGCCTTCGGTCTAGGTCAGCCTAGGCGGTGATTGGGGGTGGGTAGGCAAAGCATTGGCCCCTCCCCTGAGTCTGCAAGTAGGGGTTGGGCCCTGCCCCCCTCTGGAGCCACAAATGCCGGAGGAGCAGACAGCCGGTGTGAGTGCCCCACTTCCTTGTGGGCAGTAGGGCTCAGGCTTCCGGCTTCAGCCTTGGGGTGGCAGGCGGCAAGCTTCGGCCATGGGGTGGCAGGCTCTGGCCACTGGGCTTCAGGCTTACCACCTCCCTTCATCGCCTCTGGCCCCCGCTGCCTCCCCCAGCCCCTCCCCCATCCTCCCTACCCCTTCTCCATCCAAGGCTTAAGTTGTCCCCCGGCTTCCCAGGGCTGAGTAAGTCTGCTGTGAAAAGTGATATTTGTATGTTTGCTAACAGGTCTGCTGCTGTGAACAGTGATATTAACAAACATACAAATATCATTTTTCACAGAAGCAGACTTACTAGCTAGCAATTCTATTTAAAACAAAACAGAAACCAAAAAAGCAAAAGAAACAACAATAACAAAATAAAAGACAAGAACATGCAAAACACCTTATTTGTGTTTCTATTCTGTTTAGGTCTAGTAAAGAATAGGAACAACTGTACATTGTTGTTATTGAGTCTGCAAAAAAATAATAAAAAACCCTATGTAAATAAACTACAATGATTTGGATAGGTATGTGTGCATATTTATTTGTTTTTCCTGAAGTTAATTAAGTTTTTTGGAAACTGAGGCCATTAAAAATTTGTTGTGAGAACCCCAGTTTAGGTCATGTCTACACGGAAGCGCTATGGTGGTGCTGCTGCGGTGTTTTAAGTGCAGACAAGCCCTTAGCCCTGGGAGGGAGAGGAGAGAGGATGGCTTAGCTAGTACAAGTCCTGCCTAGCCAGTGTCTCTCTCCCAGGAGCACTAAAGGGACCCCCAGATTTAAACGGGTTGAAAGGCAAAAGCAGGGCAGTTGTATCTCCTCCCTGGCTGAATGAAAGGGCGGAGAGACTCGAATGAAACCGGGAGCAGAGCGAGGGCCATCGCCCCTGCCTTGTGCAGGCAGAGCCTTTAGGCTGCCCGGGAGTAACACGGCGACACGAGCCTGCCAGAAAACAGGGGTTTGGGCCCCTTTTGTTTGCCCCTTTCACCCAAGAGCCTGTGGCTTTCTCCCCGAGAGCCGCGCCCTGCCCCCGCAGCCTCCAGCGCCCTGGCGCTGGGAATCCCGGTGCGGCTGCGGGACTGGTTTGCCCAGGGAGCGGCCCCAGCTCTCTCGGCCGCTCCAGGCAGGGGCGCGGCGCGGCTGCCGGAGGGTTAACGGGGTTATGGGCGGGGGCAGGAGGAGCAGCTGCCGGGCGTGTCGGCTACTGGCGCACCGGGCTGCAGCCAGGGCGGGAGGAGGCAGAAGCGCCGAGACGGCGAAGCCGGGCTCTCCTGCTCGGGCACTGCTCCCGGGGGCGCTGCTGGCTCTCGGGCTGCCCGGGGAGAACAGCCGCTCGGGGGCACCATGCCTGGAAGCGACACCAGCCTGGCTGTGGACAGGACTTACTCGGACCCGGAGAGGCACCAGCGCTCCAAGACCCGGGTAATTCCCCTCTCGCCGCGCAGCCCGCGGGGGCTAGTTGCCCACCCGCCACTGCAGCGCTTGGCTGTTCCGTAGCAGGGGCTGCACAGCGTCCCGGGGCGCTTGTTCCAGCAGCCCCTGTCGCCGCCCTGCGGGTCTGGGTTGGAAATGGCGGGGGTTCCCCGCAGGTGCTAAAAGCTGATTGTCTTGGGTGCTTAAAAGGCGCCTGTCACCTTGGGAGCCAAACCCAAACGTTCGGCCGCTGTACGTGTAATCTCAAGTTCAGCTCCTCTCGCCCCGAAGCAGCCACTGGGTGCCTGGGCAGAGAACACACCTGGCCCGCTGCTCCATTCCTCTGCGCACTGCTCTCGTTGCACTAGATTGGACTGGAGGTGGTTGGTGGTAGTTGCTAAAGGTTAGTGGAAGCGCTGCGGATGAGGGATTCAGGGCCGGCTCTTGACACACTTGGTTCCAGCCAGTCCAAAGGTAACAAAACAGCTTGTTTTGCTCCTCCTGAGGACTTAAAAGCCGCAGCAGTTGTGGGGATCACAGCTGTATTTTTTTTGAAGTGAGGTCAACAAGTTGAGAGACTGTCTGAGGAACTGCCATGTAACAATCCCACTGCATTTCTGTGTAGAGTGTAAGCAGTGTCCGTGTGAGCCTTCAATTCAGACGTGCTTTTGAAAACATGCTCTCGTTGAAACCTGGACCAAAACTTAGGTTCTCTATTTTTAAATAAATATCACAAAATAGCTATTTCGATGACTATTTTTTTAATCTAAAGGAAAACTTTTAATAAACTTTCCCATTCAGTGTTTATAACCCAAACATTGCTTCATTGCTGTGTTGTGTAACAAATTGAAACTGAATGACTGTTGACAGACTGTAGAAACTGAAGTTCAAGCTAAATTCACTAAAGAAACTAGCTCAAGCTGAGAGTAATGGAAAACAACTACGAAAAGTGAACAGAAAACTAGCTGTTTAATTCTCTGAATATTAATTGTCCATGCTTAGACATCCCTGGGATGTCTCCCTCAGAAATTGCTTAGGTAATACAAGCAAAGGCTCTTCTTTTATTTCAATCTCCCTTAAAGTGAAGATCTGCAGAGCAAATGATTTTTCTACAGTAGGGAGCAATTATTACTGCTCACTCCATCCCCCCCCCTCCCTCCGTTGCTCGTTCTCCCCCATCTTCACTCACTCGCTCATTTTCACCAGGCTGGGGAGGGTCCCTTTTCGACCTGGTGTTCGGTTGAAAACTAGACACCTGGCATCCTACATGCTAAAATTGCTTCTAAGAGGGTTGGAGCAATATATTTATATACTATAGATTCCATGATGTACAATTTCATTGGGGCAATTTTTCTCATGGTGCAGTGGAGGTTAGATTTGTTTTGTCTGATTATTTTGTGTCTCTTTTTAATAGACTGCATGATATCTGCCTGTTATATTAGTGATCATAATATGTGTGTGTAATTACATGTATGACTGCACTATGGATGGGACTAATGGGTTGGCTAGCTTGTGTACAAATTTCAAATCTCCAGCTACCTGTTCGGTTTAAGCAGGTGAAGTCCTCTCTGTATTTATGACTCTGGTTAAGCAAAAGAAAGAAAAGCTGCTCTTCGTTGTATTGTAATTTCCTCTTGCTGGCTCTGGCTGTGGGCAAAAATAGCTGTTCTGCTTTCTCTCTTCTACTGAGGCAAGATATTTAGTGCTTCAAAATAAATGAGCTTCACAGCTTGAAGTACTTGGATTATTTATCTGTGGAGGAAGACTGCTTCCTTTCCCTATATAGAATGCTAGTCTTTCTTTCCGCCCCTCCCATCTCATTAAATGTCACTGCTAGACAAGAGACAGTGTGCTTCAGATTGTTTCTGCATAATGAAATGTTTTAAATTAAGTAACCTCATTCACTGTGGCTTTTACTGTTGGTATGCTATCAGCATAGCATGGCCTTTGCACTATAAATTTGACACACGTTATACATAAACCAACAGTATTGATGTCTACTACTTTGTATAGTGTTGAGCAAACTAGTTTTATACCTCATAATTCTTTTCTTTCTGGAAGGTAAACATGCTATATTGCTTAGCATGATGACAGAAGAAAACTTGTATATTATTCTTGATGTCTTGATTTATTTGGGAATTTAAACTGAAGTCTCTTCAATCCAGCAGATTGACTTAATAGCTGGAACAAAGCAGCATGACCAATTTTCAGTATTGCCAACTCCAGGTGTCCAAAAATGAAATTTCTTTTTTTAAGAAAACGTTGTGACCTTTCTATTTGCATTCTGATGGCTTAAACATCAGGGTTCATATTTTAAAGCTTTTTTCTGCAACCATGAGGACTAGAAACTTACTTTTTTTTTTAAATGCAAGCTAAGGCACTGATCTAATCACATGACTCTGAGACAAGGCTTTAAGAAAAATGCCCAATATAAAGAGACCTGTGATAAAATCAAAAGAGTTGCATAAAACTATCCAGTTACACAAGACTGTTTTTTTCCATCATATGTCTGGAGGTTGGAAATACTCCACTCACTACCCAGGACAAGTAACTCCGCTCTCACTTACCCAGGACAAGTAACTCTGCTCTCACTTACCTCCTCCCAGGAGGGGAGGGATAGCTCAGTGTTTTGAACATTGGCCTATTAAACCCAGGATTGAGAGTTCAATCCTTGAGGGGGCCATTTAGGGATGTGGGGCAAAAATCTGTCTGGGGATAGGTCCTGCTTTGAGCCAGGGGTTGGACTAGATGACCTCCTAAGGTCCTTCCAACCCTGATATTCTATGATTCTATCTGGATAAGTGAGCTGGATAGCTTCTGGCTCATTCCCTGAGAATTGGGAAAGGAAGGAGCAGAGTAGTTCAAACTCTGCTATCCTTTAGCTGGAGGGGGTTGGGGTGGGCAGGAAGCAGAGCAGCAAGCCATGCTGCTGCTTTGTAGTGAAGGAGGATCATTTCTTCTTTTAAGAGAAGGGGAGTGGGAAGGAAGAGCAGAGCAACTGAAGCTGCTGTTGCTCCTGACAAGGCAGAAACTGACGTCCTGCAATAATCCAAAATGGCTGCATTCCCTCGGACTGCTCCATCGCTGATGAACTGAGGCCCTTCTCGCTTAGTCACCATTGTAGCCATTGTTCTGGTTTGGAGTTAAGGATTTCTTTCGCCCAACGAGACTGAGGTGGAATGCAACCAGAACACAGAAGACAAAGGGTTTGTCAAGCAGTTTAGACCCAATTGTAGCTTTCTGGCCCGGGGAGAGCGCCAGAGCCCAGCCCCCACCCGGCCTGGATGGGGGCCGCCCAAAGCAAGCTGCTGCTGCTGCTTTTCCTGGAGGGGCATGGGAGTGAGAAGCAGAGCAGCCCATGTGGGAAGCCAAGGGTTTCCTACATGTCCAGAATGGCAGCAGCCCCACAGAAGCCCTGCAAACAAAATTAGGGAGCCTGGAATTAATTAATTAGGTGTCTGTAGGCAGAGGGGCGATTAGGAGAAAAGGAGATGTCAGGATTGATTTTATTAGGAGGACCTGGGAGCCTGATGGTGCAGGACGTTTTAATCTGGACTGACTAAACATAGTCCTGGGGAGATCAGGTGTTGAGACTTTTCAATCCCTACACATCACCGTGTCCATCTTGAACTCTACTAAGGATTATTCAGATTAGACTTTGTTTTCCTTCACCTTCTATTTTTAAGAGAAAAAAAAAACTGCTGTCTGTTCTGGAGGGGGAAAAAACCCAGCAGATTCAGTTTGTACAAAAGTTAGAACAATTCATTATGAAAGGGGAATGTCAAGATGGTAGAATCTCAGGAAAGGGAAGAAAAGTAATTTTTAAACTCCACTGTAGTTAACAAGCCAGAGACTCTTCCTCTAGTTCAGTGTCTACCTGAGACTATTTAGAGAAGCCGTCAGACCTCATTGCTGTTTAGCTGGCAGGAAAGCCAAGAACACCGAGCTGGGGGACGATCTCTTTTTCTATACAGTCAACACCATCACAAAGATCCCACTGCCTAAAAGAGATGAGTACTTGAATGAAGAACAGCTGGCTCATTCTTGTCTGGGAAAATTAAATTGCTGGTCAGGAAGAAGCAATGTTTTGAAGAAATAGCTAGGCCACTGGTTTCTCCTCCTTTCAAGGTGTCTTTTCTTCCCTAATTCATCAAAGAGGTGCAAAGCTTCAGGGTCCTGCAGAATTTAGTATCAGTGTCAAGAAATTCTGTTTGCTAGGAGACTTCGCCCCATCCTCCCCAGTAAGGATCTGGCCAAAGCAATCCATGCATTTATTGCTTCCATACTGGATTACTGTAATTCTGGGGCTGAAGGTTGAAGTGATGCAGAAACTTCAAATTGCACAGAATGAAACAGCTCACCTTCTCAATAGGAAGAGCTGTTATGAGTATGTCATCCCTGACTCTGAGCTCCACACCCTCCACTGGCTGGTTCCTTCTCCACTTCTAGGCCTTGGTTAAGACTGGGGTACATCAACAACTGCATCTCCATCTGTAATCCACTAAAACAACTGAAGTCTTTTGGAACAATGCAGTTAACACAAGCCAGGCAAACAAGTACCAAGAGTCTCATTGCTTCCACAATGTGCTTCAAAACAATCCTTTTTGGGGGGGGGGAAAAAAACAAAAAAAACTTTTAAAGCATAACCAGATAGGGATTGCCCTACTCAGTCACATCAATGGCCCATGTAGTCAGATGCCCTGTTTGACTGACCAGTATCAGATGCTTCATAAAACGGTGCAGGAAACCCTAATTACTGTATTTCCTGCCCATAAGAAAAGGGTTTTTCCCCCCCCTTAATCCCCATCAATTAGTGGCAGGTTTATAACCTGAAGGATGAGTTTATCCAGTGCTTAATTTGTAATGAACGAGTTGCCAGAGCTCAAGCAATTCGGTGCTGGGGCTAAAGCAATTTTTTTACATTGATAATTGATGCAGCAAGCCCATAAGTGCCGGGGCTATGAACTGCCAAGCCTAGAGGTGCCGGGGCTTAGCCCTGGCAAGCCCTA